ACGCAATAAAAATTTTCTTTTCTCTCTCCATCCCAGCAAGTTCCACTCTCAAGCAGCGGATCTTCCGTGTTAGCAGTTGCCCTCTGCCTTGGGCGAGAAGGGCCCCGTCCTGGCCTTCCAGGTGGCCCAAAGCTGTGTGGCTGCCGGCTGCCATCTTTTGTGGCAGTGAATTTGCATATCCTGCTGATTAACAACCAATGGGAAGCATAGCGGATGTATGGTTAATTACCATGTTTGTCTATTATTAGACAGGATTTTTGTACTCTAAGAGAAAAGCTAGGTGTAAAGAAGAGCAAGATTCAGGGAAAAGATCAAACAATTCTCCCAATACTTTCAGAAAATAGTCAGTTGGGGGAGCCTTTGTGTAAAAAGACCACTGATATCAATGATTGTTGTAGAGCACGGCTATAGGGTTAAGCCTCGGACTGACCTGTTGGCAAAGCCACTAACAAGTCCAGCTTAAAGGGCACAGCCCTCTTACCATAATTAGGCTTGACCTTATGACTCTCCCTAGATCTTATCTGGGTAGCTAATGGGCTGAGGGAGATGTAGCAAGTGCTGCCAAAACAAGTGAAACTCACAAGAACATTGTAACTATGGTGACCACTACCTTGTTTACCTCTGGCTATAAAATAAAGGCTCAGCTTGCCTCTAGATCTCTCTCTGTGGCCTTAGCCAGGCACAGGAAGATCCACCTAGACCAGTGATGGTGAACCTATGACACGCATGTCAGAGGTGACATGCAAACTCATTTTTTTGGTTGATTTTTCTTTGTTAAATGGCATTTAAATATACAAAATAAATGTCAAAAATATAAGTCTTTGTTTTACTATGGTCGCAAATATCAAAGAATTTCTATATGTGACACGGCACTAGAGTTAAGTTAGGGTTTTTAAAAATGCTGACACGCTGAGTTCAAAAGGTTCGCCATCACTGACCTAGACCCAGCCTATTCTCTTTGTCATTTCTTCATCCATTCACCGCCCTCACTCAGGCTTGCAGAACCCTTGGCTGAGCTGGCTCGGCAGATTGTAGGATTAAAACATGAACCACTAATGAAGTTGCATAAGCATCCAAGGGTTTTAAATATATAAGCATAAGTAAGATGGTAATTTTTATTATGCGTAGAGAAAAAGAAACAATATTAATTGAATTCAGTGATGGAAAGGTGCCCAGCAGCCTCTAGGCTTTTCAATTTTTCCCCCCTCAAATATTGAATTAAACTATTTCACTCATCTAAGTGTTATGTAATAATTATAATTAGTGATCATTAAATACTGAAAAAGCTCTAGTAACAACGAAGGACATGTGTGAGGAGAGAGTATAAATATGTGACAATGTAGCCTATGTTCTAAAATTCTGAGGTGTTTTTTTTTTTTGAGGTTCCCACCACCAGATTACTGTTCTCCTCCGTGGGAGAACTTACAGTTTAAGAGGAAATAACCATACAAGAGCTAACCTTATAAACAAAACCTAACAAGTGCCAAAAAAACACCATTCTAATAAACAAGTTTTCTCCTACTATAATAACAAAAACAGTTCAAAAACTCCAGTAGAAATCCTAATAAATTTAACCAATTAATTTCAATTTCTATGTTTCTTAGTGCAAGTCAATTAAAAGATTGATTTTAATTGTAACTGAACAAAATGTTCTGACTTATGGACCAAAAAAGAAAGAAAAAAGCAAGGTTGTAAATTTACATAAGGTAAGATGAAAAAAAATGGAGAGTAGCAAGCTAAAGTTAACACCTCGGAAGAACAATTACCAAATGCTAGAGTTAGAAGCAACCTTAGAAATTATCCAGATCAATCGTCTGACAATCCTCTTTTAGTTAAGAAAGGTAAGGCATGGCAAAAGTATGTCCAATAAAATTGGGATGTTTTCAAATGTATGGATCAGATACAGAGCAAATGAGATCAATATCAGTACCATAATATATTTTAGAACATCCAAACTAGGTTTATTAACACATCTAAGTACTTACATTAAGAAGTAATTCATCTTTTGTTTTAATAAGAGGAAAATTCTTATTTTCCTTCTCAACTTGTACATCTTCATCTCCATCTGACAGCACTGGAGGAACTAATATTCGAGAGGAAGAGGAAGATGAGGATGATGATGAGGAAGAGGAAGAGCTTGAACTATCTGAATCTGTTTCACTGTAGGAAAGGAAAAGTTTAAACTTAGTAAAACAGTAACATGACGGCATTAACATATATTATTCAACTAGGAAATATCTACTTTACTATATGTTTACTATTACTGATATAATTCAAAAGCTAGTATTTTGAAGTTGACTCTGGTATTTGGAAAGTAGTCCTTAATCCACTGATAACATTTTCAAAAGTCGTGCTATGACTGCAACTCAATTACAATAGTCTCACACATCACACATCTGCCTTAATATAATTAAACATGTGCCAAATCACTGACAAAGAGAACTCTGGGCAATGTACTTCTCTCATTGGTCACCTAGCCATTTAATTGCCAATAGTTTCTCCTCAGTCTTCAGACAACTTGGAAACTCAAGTTACCAACCATGCTGACCATTCTATTCTTTAAAAACTCCTTTAAGCCCATGACTTCCACAGCAATTCTTGTTACCAGTAACCCTACTCTAAGTTTAAAATTTGTTTGCTGACTATTCCCTTAACTCCCTTTTATTTTCTTAACCCTCATCCAAGAAGTGAGGATATTTTTTTCCATTGATTTTTTTAGAGAGTGGAAGGGAGGGGGGAGAAGAGAGAAACATTGATGTGGTCTCTGTCACATCTTTTGGCTGCCTCCCACATGTGCCCTGAGGGTTGGGGGTTGGTGGCAGGGATCAGACCTGCAACCCAGGTACATCCCCTTGATCTGGAAACAAACCCACCGACCTTGGGTAAGCAAGCTGACATTCTAACCACTGAGCTTGCTGACCAGGGCTCCTTCACTCCCTTTTTTATGCTGTTTCTAAAAGTTTCATATTTATTCTCTTCTCTTTCTGTACTCTCCCTATGCATAATCTCATGCCCTACAATGTTTCCAATTATCATCCGTGTGCAGATAACTCCTAAATCTTCAGCACTGATATTTATAAGCTTCATCCCTGATCTCTGGCTACATACTGGCCACCTCTGTATGAATGACCCACACTTAACCTCACACTAACAACAACTTAAAAGAAAAAAAAAGTGCATTCTCCTTACTAAGTCACTTCTCCTTGAACTTCTATTTTATTCATTACTTAGTCTTTAATCCAGTTACTATAGGTAGAAAGACTGGAATCATTCTGAGCTATTTCATTCTCAGTCAAGGATAAAACCCCATCTTCAGATTAGTAAACATCACTCCTATTCCACTTCATCCCATTTCCACTGCTACTCCTCTATTTCAAGTGCTTATTTCTCACCTGCTTTCCTGTAATAATTGTATAACTGATGTAAATACTAGTCTCTTCCCACAACAATCACCCCCTCACCCTATTGATGTTTTGCTGTTACCCTTATCCTTTTCATGACCTTCCATTTTAAGCAGTTCACAATCTTGCTTTAAAAAATCATTCATGCTCAGTTGATGTGGCTCAATGGTTGAGCCTGGACCCATGAACCAGGTCATGGTTGGATTCCTGGTCAGGGCACATGCCGGGGTTTGGGCTCGAACTCCAGTAGGGAGCGTGCAGGAGGCAGCCAAACAATGATTCTTATCACTGATGTTTCTATCCCTCTCTCCCTCTCCCTTAAGAATAAATATTTAAAACAAATATTCATGTAACCTCTGTGTTCACTGCTGCCTTATTCACAGTGGCCAAGACAGGGAAACAACTGAAGTGTCCTCCAATAGATGATTGGATAAAGATGTGGTACATATATACAATGGAAAACTACTCAGCCATAAGAAAAGATGAAATACTGCGATCTGTATCAACATGCATGGACTGGAGAATATCATGGTAAGAGAAATAAGTTAGATAGAAAACGTTAAGAAACATGAATTTCACTCATATGTGGGATATAAAACTTAAAGCAACAAATGAACAAACAAAAATGAAACAAAACTCATAAACACAAACAACAGTATGGTGGTTACCAAGAGATGGGGATTTGGGGGGTAGTAAAGGGTAAAGGGGTCAAATATGTGTTGACAGAGGATGATTTGACTTGAAACCTATATGATCTTAACCAATGTCACCCAATCTACACTAATAAAAGAAAAATATGGTA